TGTCTGTGCTACTGGTGTAATGTTCAGGAAGAGGTCTCCTGTGCCAATTTGTTCAAGGGTAATTCCCACTTTCTCTTCTAGAAGATTCTTTGTGGCTGGATTTATGGTGAGATCTTTGATCCATTTGCACTTAAGTTTTGTGCATGGTGACAGGTATGGATATATCTGAAATTTTCTGCATGTCCGAATCCAATTGTACCAGCACCATTTGTTGAAGATGCTGTCTTTTTACCATTGTATAGATTTTGCACCTTTGTCAAACATAAGGTATTCGTAGGTGCGTGGGTCAATATCAGGGTTTTCAAGTCGATTCCATTGGTCTATCTGTCTATTTTTGTGCCAATACCAAGCTGTTTTCAGAACTATGGCTCTATAGTAGAGCTTGAAGTCAGGGATGGTGATGCCTCCAGAAGATCCTTTATTGTAAAGAGTTGTTTTGGCTATCCTGGGTTTTTTATTTTTCCAAATAAAGTTGAGTATTGTTCTTTCAATGTCTGTGAAAAACTGTGTTGGGATTTTGATGGGGATTGCATTGAAACTGTAGATTGCTTTTGACAGGATTGCCATTTTTACTATGTTACTTTTACCTATCCAAGAACATGGGAGATCTTTCCATTTTCTGGTATCTTCTTTAATTTCTTTCTTTTAAGTCTCAAAATTCTTATTGTACAGGTCTTTCACTTTTTTGGTGTCCTGGCTAGTTTTACCTCCACCTGACACATGCTAGAGTCATCTGAAAGGAGGAAATATTTCCATAACATTCGGCTGTAAGGCATTTTCTTAACTAGTGATGAGGGAGGGTCTATTGTGGGTAGTGCCATCCCTGGGCTGGTAGTCCTGGGTTCTATAAGAAAGCAGACTGAGCAAGTCACAAGGAACAAGTCAGTACACAACACCCCTCCATGGCCTCGGCATCAGCTCCTGACTCCAGGTTCTTTTCCTGTTTGAGTTCCTGTCCTGGCTCCCTTGTGGAAGTGTAAACCAAATAAATCCTTTCTTCTGCATCTTGCTTTGTATATGCTGTTACATCATGGCAAGAGTTGGCCTAACTTGCATAGTCCCCTTGTTGCTAAATGCTTTAGATAAACATCTCCACCATTGCCAGCTCCCATTTGAAAGTGCTATTCTTGTTACCACTGAGTACATAGAATCTCTGATTCCTTTTCTACATCTTCTTACACAGTAGCAAATACTATTGTGATGTGTACATAATATCTTTACTTTAAAAAGTATATATAAATGCATTTACCATACAGGGTATTTGTGCCCTTGTTTTATTTCTTATTTTTTTTAAAGGTTGGATCCTAGCTTGCTGTGGTAACACACACTTGTAATCTCAGCACTTAAGAATCCAAGAAAGGAGGTATATGTGTTTGAGACTGGCCCGAGCTGCATAGTGAGTCTCTATCTCAGAAGGAAAAGCTAAAGGGACAAAGAAAACAGAGCACCACAAATGCATAGATGCTTCATACATCTGTGTGCAGCTTGCCATCCTCACTCAGGTGGTAGCATTCATGGAGGATGCTCTGGGCAGTAGGGGAATGTAGAGTGTCAGTGTTCAGTACTGTCATTTCCATCATCAATCACCTTTCTTTACATCATATGGTCTGCTTCTGGCCTTTCCATTCTATTCTCCTGGGTCAAATTTTGTTTTGTGATTGCCTCCTCTAGCATGACATTGCTGCAATTGTTCTTTATATGTGTCGGTGGCGTACTTGAACAAGAATCCCATTTTGTACTAATTTTCCAATGAGTATCTTGGCAGTTCTTGAGCTGTTTTTATTCTGCAAAATTTCCAAGATCAGTTTTTAAAATCACTTGAAACAAGCTTGGAAATTAATTCAAATTGTGCTCAGTTCAAAACTAATTTTGGAGAAAATGGATGCTTATAAAATGATGCATTCAATAAGAAAATAATATTAGGAGACTGATTGCAAGGAGTAGGCTTACAGGGTCACGACACTGTAAGGAAGGGCAGTGCTATATTCACAGGTGGAAATTTCTCCTTGGATGGTTCTCCTCTTTTAGGTTGTTCTTTTGACTGGTAGAATGAGGCCCACCCTGAATATGTAGAATAGTTTCCTAACTTAAGGTCCTTGTACTATACATCTCATAAAATACTTTCATACCAATACTTAGTTTAGGCTCTGATTGGGTTCCAGCATTTAAGTCAAACCAATCTGATACATAAAATTCACCTCACATTCACACTGCTGTCAAACACTATCGTGTTCTCTCTTTATGTGTTTTACATTGTGCTTGGTAGTGTTTGTCAACCCTAGATACCCTTGGGAAGAGGGACTACTCTCAGTTGAGGGATGACTTCATCAGATTGGTCTGTGGGCATGTTGTTCAGGGCATTTTCTCAATTGCTAATAGATGCAGAGGGCCCAGTGCCATCTCTGTTCTGGTGGGCCTGGATTGGTTAAGAAACCATGCATCTTCATATGGGATGCCTTTATCAAACCCTTTCCCTAAAGGCTCAGGGATCCATCTGCAAAAGGAGGCAGCAAGATTTTAAGAACCACAGGTGATGGATGACTCCAAGGGAGCAGTGTCTCTGGACACAATAGGACTGACAGCCACATGAACTCACAGACTGTGTCATCATGAACAAGGCCAGCATGAGCTTAAATCACACCAAATCCAAGCACTAGGGCAAATGGGCAGAGTGCTGCCCTTAACCAGGAAGCTATTTGTAATTTTATCTGTTTGGAAAGAGAGCATTAGTTTTCTCCAATGGAGTATCACTGGGTATATCAACTACACTCCAGGGTAGGCCTGTGCCTAGGAGTAGGTGGCCAACACAAAAATTACTTAATGTTTTGCTGTTTTTGCTTTGCTTTGGAATTTTTTTTTGTGTGTGTGTTTATGTGTGTGTGTGCATATATGACATTGTCCATCTCTGACTTACAAATTCCCAAAGGTTCATGTTGACATGCAAAACTTTTCTTCAATATATTTAGAGATAAGGAAATGTTTCTATCTAGATTCAATGCCATGATGTGAAGGGCACCAGTATTACTTTTTTTTTTTTTGCTAAAAATACCACATGGAATACAGTGTTTTGCATAATTTGAATTCAATATATCTTCACATGGATACTGAGGGGTGTTCGTATCCTATTTCTATAGTACAGGCTACAAGCTCAGAAAGCTGGAGCCCAAACTATCACACACCTAGAAAACAGAGGTATCAGATGTACCCAGCTATGTTTTCAATGACTTTATGGAATCCAGGGGTGATTCTACTTGGTAAATCTCTAGCTCCCCTTTTACAAACTAGCAGAATTCTTGTTATTATTGAGAAATAATCTTCCTTGTTTTAGAGAGCTCTCGACTTAGTCCAGAGTCCTCAGTACTAAAGTTTTGGTTGAAGTGTGGAGGTTGGTGTGGATCAGCTTTTGTTTACATTGCTCTGGCCAACAATTACAGCTCTGTCAGGCCATGGAGACACAATGGCCATGACACTGATGTAATAAAAGAGGGCTAATGAAGTCCCTGTCTCCTATAGTCACAGAGGGATCTACCTTGAGGAGAGCTATAAAAAGACACAAAAATCAAACAACTGAAAGTCGGGCTTGTTTACTCTCAGCAAGGAAGATTGATTTTTACTTGTTCTGTTTGCAATTAATTTACCTAATTTAACCTTTAGAAATGTCACCTTCTCTCTCAACCTCAGTAATAAATATAATTTTTTTCATTGATTTAATTTTAGAAGCCTCTCCATTTTCTTTCCACAGCTGCTGCCCTTCCTTTTGGGTTGAACTGGGAGACAGTAGGAGAAAAAGGAAACACATATGAAAAGACAGCTTTGTGGACATGTGTTTGTCTTTATTTAAATGTTACTTCCAGAGCATGTTGTTGTGTTAAGTATATACAGATGTATTCCTCAGTGTTGGGGTACAGAGGATGGGGTTAGGGAGGAAAATTAATCAATGAAAATTTAATAAAACCAAACACCATAGTGATAGTAGTAGAGGAGTTAGCAAGCTTGAAACAGGTAAATCATAGGCTGAACATTTCCTTTGCTTTGACGCTGTCAGAAACTAGTGCGTACTCACTGCACGTTCACATTGGCTGAACAGACCAGGGCTTTTCAGATTTGTATCTGCAGCCACAGTCCTTGGGGCTCTTGCATATGGGATCACAAAGTGTGGGGTGGAGTTTGTGATGTCTGTGCATGCCTAACATTCTCCGAGGTGATGCTGGTCCTTGGCCTGCCTCAGCCTGTAAGTTCTTGGATCCCTGCATTTGTAATCTTATTAAGGTCTCTCCATGTAAAACCAGGCTTTTTTTTAACATTTGGTTTTATTTCAAAAGGGATTCACTTTGTAGCTCAGGTTGTCTGGAAGCTCCTCTGTTGCCCAGATTTCTGCAAACCAATATTTCTCCTGTTTTAGTTTCCTGAGTACTAGAATTGCAGGCACTTGTCACCATACCTGATTTAAATGTTTTTGGATGGATGGTTTTAAGAAATAAAACATGAGTTCATATAAACAAGAAGTTTGCAAATATTGTGGTATTTCTCATTTTTATATTCTTGATGAGAGTTATAAATTACTACTCACATTGTATATAATCTAAGGACTAAAACTCCCTGTCTCTACATGGCTACATAGGGAACAATTGATAGAGAGTACATTACCACTTTGATTGTTTCCCTTTAAAATCTGTGTTACTAATCACTGCCATATTATGAAATGAAGGGGAGAGGGAGCATGAAACACAGTCTGATGTGAGGCTATTTAAAGTCCTCCATTTATTGGCTGATGCTGAGACTTGATATATTAAGTTCCTCATTTGAAAATGGAAATGTGGGGAAGGAGAAGGGACTTACATGTGAAACAAGCTTGTTCCCTAACTTGAACTAATAATAAAAATTAAAAAAAGAAGTAGCTTTAGATTTTCAATGTTTTTACAAATTAATTATATTGATCTTGGAAAATTTAAAAAAAAGAAAATGGAAATGATGCTTGTACTGCTCTTCTGTCTATGCTGAACTTCAGAAAACACAAAGAAATGTTTGGGAACCTGTGGCAGACATGAATTTTTCTTCCTAGCTGTTGCTTGTCAACAATACACATGGTATGATAGAAGTCCTGGAGAGATTAGGCATACAAGGGACACACCTCAACACAATAAAGACAGTTTGCAGCAAGTCCAAAGCCAACATCAACTTAAAAAGGGAGAAACACAAAGCAATTCCACCAAAATCAGGAACAAGGCAAGGCTGTCCACTCTCTCTATACCCTTTCAATATAATACTTGAAGACTTAGGTAGAACAGTAAGACAACTGAAATCAAGTTAAATCAAGAGAATATAATTTGTAAAGGAAGAAGTCAAAGTATTGAAATTTGCAGAAAATTCCAACAGGAAACTCCTATAGCTGATAAACACTTTTAACAAAATAGCTGGATACAAAATTAACTCACAAAAAGCAGAAGCCCTTCTTTATACAAATGACAAAATGACTGAGAAAGATATCAGAGAGACAACACCTTTCATAATAGGCTCAAATAATACAAAATACCTTGGGATATCTTTTACCAAGCAAATGAAAGATTTGTGTGATAAAACCTCAAGTCATTGAAGAAAGAAATGAAAGAGAAGGTATCAGAGGATGTAAAAATAACCTATGCTCACGGATAGATAGGATTAACGTAGTCAAAATGGTCATCCTATCAAAAGCAATCTACAGATTCAATGAAATCTTCATTGAAATTCCAACACAACTCTTGGCAGTTCTTAAAAGGGGAATCTTTAGCTTCATATAGAAACACAAAAGCCAGGCTAGATAAAATAATCATGAATGATAAATGAACTGCTGGAGGTATCACCATCCCTGATTTCAAGTTGCATTACAGAGATACAGTAATAAAAACAGCATCGTATTGACAGAAAGCAGACACATTGATCAATGGATTGTAATTGAAGACTGAGACAAATATTCACACACCAATGGACAATGTATTTTTGATAAAGATGTTAGAAATGCACACAGGAAAAAAGACATCATCTTCAACAAATTGTTCTAGTCAATCTGGATGGCTGCATGTAGAATAATTCAAATAGATCCATACTTAACATCTTGTACAAAACTCTCTACTCCAAATAGATCAAAGATCTCAACATAAAACCAGATACAGTGAACCTGACCGAAGAGAATGTTGGGAATATCCTCAAACTAAGTGGTGCAAGAGAAGACTTTCTGAACAGAACCCCATTCACACAGGCACTGAGATCCACAATTAATAAATGAGACCTCATAAGACTGAGAAACTTCTCTAAGGCAAAGGAGGACATCATTCAAACGAAGTGGCAGTCCACAGATTTTTGAGAACTCCACATTCTATAAAAGACAAATATCTAAAATATATAAAAGACTCAGGAAATTAGTTATCAAGAAAACAAATAATCCAATTAAAATGAATTCTCAATAGAGGGATCTCGAATAGCTGAGAAATACTTAACATGCTCAACATCCTTATCCAAGAGGGAAATGCAAATCAAAGCTACTTTGTCATTTTATCTTAACCTGTCAGAATGACTAAGATAAACAAAACAAGTGACAGCTCATATTGCCAAGGATGTGGAATAAGAGAAATACTTGTTATTTCTGGTTGGAGTATAAACTTTTTATAGCTACAATAGAAATAAGTGTGGCAGTTCCTCGGAAAAATATTAATCAGTCTACCTAAAGACGCAGCTATAATACTCTTGGACATATACCCAAAGGATGTTTCACCCTACCACAGAGACACTTGTGTAAACACGTTCATCAGTGCTCTCTTCATAATAGTCAAAAATTAGAAACAACTTAGATGTCTCTAAACAGAAGAACTAAAAAAAATAAAATATGGCACATTTACACAATGGAGTATTATTCAGCCATTAAAAATGACGTCACACCACCAATGTCCCTGGTAAATGTTTACACCAGAAGCCTGGTGGATGTCCATGGTCCATGCTATCACTAGACACCATGTGAACATCCATGATCCATGCTCCTGCTGACTGTAAAGAACAAAGAAGCTTCTCCTGTAGTGCTGTTGATGATTGAGGACTCACTGCTGAGAAGAGAGACATACAAGTTTTCTGTAATGACCCCCCTGCCCCCAAATATAGCAACCTAGACAGGAAGCCATCGAAGAGAACTTTTAAAAATCATGATAGGAACACTGAAGTATAGCTCTCCACATTGAGGGCTGCTTTCAGGGGTGGGGGTGAGGCTGGCTACTGGGAGTTTGACCAAAGGACAACACAAATTAGCCTTTTGCAAAAAGTTTTTCAGTAGTCCACAAGAATGGGTGTGTGGATCTAGGAGGACAGGGATGTAAAGGTGATTGGGTGTATTATATGAAATTCCCTAATAAGCAAGAAAAATATTTTGTTAAAAATGACACCATGAAATTCACAGTTTATGAACTAGAGAAAAAAACACCCTGAGTGAGATAACTCAGACCAAGAAAGAAAAAAGTATGGTATATATTCACTTATATGTGGATACTAACTGTTAATTCAATTGCAACCATTCTATAGCCCATAGATTCACAGAGGGTAGGTATATAGTAATAGACTATAGGGAACAGAAAGATCCAACGAGGAAAGGTAAGTAGATATTTGTGGAGGGATAAGTGTTCTGAAATGGGAGGTTCATGTTGGGGAAGGAATATGGAGAGAGAACACTAAAACTAAGGGGTATTTGAAGGGGTAAGTTAGAAACCTAATACAGTAGAAACTTCCTAAAAATTAATACATATAGGAGGGCGGTCTGAATAAAATTGCCAAACAATGTGGGAGACAGAGTCCCATCTAGACAGTTCTGTCACCAAATGAAGCTTTCAGTGCCAGGTCTGGGTTACATCTACTTGAGTTGCTGGACAAAGGAGCCCACAGGAATACCCAAACAACTCAGATTATTGCCAAGACTATATTATTGCTAAAAACTGCTATTAAAGCTCCATTGATGAAGACAATATCTACACAACTCATGGAAAACAAAGATGTTGAGCTGGTGCCTACAGGGAGACTTTACCTCTATGTTCTAGTGTCTTTGATACAGGAAGGTATTCTGCATTTTGTCAAAAGAGAAACATAAGCACCAAGCCAGCTGCAAACACTTTATTTACAATGTTGTCCTGCCTGCAAGATATACTAGGGCAATGTTGGCACAAAGCTTGTGGGAGTAACCAACCAACACCTTATTTGACTTAAGACCCTCTTCACAAGATGGAATCCATACCTGACACTATTGGGCAACCAAGAACCAGAGATTAGATAGCTCATGGACCTAGGATAAAATCAAATAATATTGGTGTAAACAATGTAATGATAATGACTCCTAATGATATTCTGTCATACTCACAGATGGCCTTGTTTAGCCATCATCAGAAAAGATTCCTTCTGCACCAGTGGGCACAAATACAGAGACCAACAGCCAGAGACTATGCAGAGAGTTGGATACTCAGCTCTAAGTGGGTTTCTTTATCAAATCCTGACACTCCCTCAGAGCTCACAGAGCCTGGTAATAGAGGAGGTAGAAAGAGTATGTGAGCCATATGGAGCCAAGAAAGAAGGCCTTTAAATCATCATGAGCAAAGCTCACTGGAACTTAAGAGACTGAAGCAGCATTATGGACCTGCAAAGGTATGCACCAGGTTTTTATCATGGCTTCCAGTTTCGTGCTTTTCTATGGGTTTCCTGAATGTGCAGATGAGTGGGTCTCTGACTCTGTGTCTTCACTTGGGCTCTTTTCCCTGTGCTGGTTTGCCTTGGCCATCTTTGCTGTGATCAGTTTTGTTCTATACTATATTTTATTTTGGTACATATAAAAATGAGTGTTTGAATGAATGAACACCAAACCACTAGGGTAAAAGTTAACAACTAAACTGTTATTTATACCTGCTGGGAAAGGGAAAATCAATTTTCCCCAAGGAATGACACTGGGTATATCAACCACTCCAGGACAGGCCACATGTTCAGGAGTAGTTGACAATCATATAATGGACTCTACAGTTTTTTTTTCTTTTAAGTGTTTTATTTGGTTACAGTTTTATTTTTTTCTTTATGGGTGTTAATGTATTTTGCTCCATAGGTTATGTAGTTTTGTTTTTGTATTGAGTTTTTCATTTATTTTTGAGGTTGAAGTTAAAATTAGGTGGGTAGCAAGTAGGCTAAGATTTGAAAGATTTGGAGGAGGGGAAGAATATGAGCAAAATATATTTAATTCTAAAAACTGTTTTTGATAATGAAAAATTAAAGAGAAAGAATAGACTTGATGAAGTTTACAAAAAATAAGTGTATCTCCCAGGCTGTTAGATGCCTGAGATAGATGAATTTTCATACACAAATGGGACTCTGTATTTTTGTCACAGCTCTGAGTTCAAATAGAAGCAGCTGAGGGTTCTCAGGCCTCCATGCCCAGTCTGGCACCTGACGACTTCTTCCAGTTTCAAACCAGGAAGCCTGGATTCTCTAAATCCGCCCTACCAAAACACCAGCTCAGTTTAGAGATTTTCACTTTTTATTTGCATATAATTGAGGGCCAGTCAGATGTTTGACAAGATTTAAATACAATGATGTATTATTGTATTAAATACAAATAAAGATTAAATACAATGAGGATTATTTTGGGACACAACTTCTGTGAAACAATGTACAGCTTTCGGCTAGTTTTTAGTGGGGTATTTGCTCCATCAGTGTACAGTATTTTAGAGGCCTGTGCTAGAAAAATGTGACTTGTATTCATACTTTAGCAGGCCTTGCAAATCTCAGAGGTGAGGAGTTATATGTGGTCTGCTTGTATGAGTCAGGGGCAAAGCAAGACAGAACAGAATAATTTTGTGAGCTCTACAGGGAGAGGTGAGAAGTAAAAGTTGGCCATGATTGAATGGAGATACGGAAGGCAGACAGTGGCTTCCCAGGAGAATTGAATGACTCAGCAGGGAAAATATGAGGACAGGCCATGGCTTTCCAAACACTCACTGATTTAATCCTTTCAATGTTTGTACTGGCACCGATAACACCACATTTTATTCTAAAAACCATTCCCTCGAGGAAGGAATATGTGACTCCATTCTACACATGAAGAAATTAAGCAGCAGAGACCTTCATTTATTTCCTCCTGAGGTGGGAAAACTAGAAACTCTAAATTCTGTGTGTTTCTTGTCATGCTCTGGAGCCTCTTTTGAGGGAGATATATTGGAATTAATTTGTTCAACAAAGCAATAACACTATCTATTAAAATTATTTCACAGGTACTTTCTCAAAAAAAAAAAAGAAAGAAAGAAAAAGGAAACCACAGCTATGTTACATGAGGCTCATTCCTCAAGTCTGCTGTATTGAAAATACCTCCCTTCCTGAACTTGAGTTCATATCCTCTGGCCATCTGATTCTTGGCTGCCTCTTGAGGGCTGGGAAGAATACTGTGTTTTTGCTGGGCAGAGGAAAGACTCCACCATCTGGTCCTCAGGGACCTTCTCAGAATATACTCTCCACTGTCTTTACTAGGGGCTTGTGTTGTTACAAGTCTGCTGTGGTTTGACTGAAACTGTAAAATACGATGAACAATATATGTGAGAATAATAAAATGGCTAAGAACCAGGGGCTGTCACCTCATCTTGGATTCCATGTCTTCTTATTCGCTGTCCAGGAGGCCTTTTCAGCACTACTGGTTGTGTAAGTTACTCATCTCTCCATTATTTTTTTTACTGTTTATTGGACATCTTCCTAGCTTAGGTTTGGTACAAGCCAGTAGACTGATGTTTCTTGGAGAAATGCTTGACTGGTGTGTCTGTGTCAGTGACTAACAATCTATCTGTCCCCCACACGGCAGTTAAAGGCTTACTGACATTTGTAGGCAGGATCCATCTGTGCTCTGAATCTGTTTCTGCCTGCATCTCACTGAGGAGGAAGAAGGTCATACCAAGGAAGCACGGCAGGATGCTTGCATATATGAACTCACAGAGGCTGTGGCAGCATGCATGGGACCTGAATGGCTCTGGACCTGATGGATCCAAGCATAAGAGGAGAAGTAGACACAAGCTCCCATTCCTAACCCAGAAGCTGTCCCCAGTGATAACTACTAGTAAATGAAAAAATAATTTTCTTCAAGGGAGTCTTCCTGGGTATATAAACCACTCTTAAGGTCATGTCCCCAGGGTCACCAGTAAATGACCAAGACAGAATGAACTTAATGACATGTTTGGAAGTTCTTTGTCTCATATTGCTTTGTCAGGGATTTTTTTCTTTTTTCTTTTTAACCTTACAGGTCCTTTGTGTATATATTATGGTTTCTAGTTTTGTGTTTTTATTGGATGTCTGTGTGTATGTCTGTGTCTTGTGTCTATAGTGTTTCATGAGCATTTTTAAGCTCCTTTTTTTCTGTTTGATTGTCTTATTCTGGTTTACTTTTATTTTACCTAATTATTATTACTATTACTATTTTTATTTAGATGCCTGCTTGTATGCTAATGAGCGAGAGAAAGAATGTGTACTTGAATGGTTGGTAAGAAGGAAGCAAGCAGCTAGCAAGGGAAGGAGAAACCATAATAAGTGTACTCCTAAAAAAAATCTACTTTCAATCACAAAAGATTCTGATGTATAATATCCATCAAGACATAGCATGTCATTCAACACTTTCTAAAGGCTAGTGCAACATATTTAGTGAGATCTTGTTCAAAAATGACAAAAGAGGAGAGCTGGATATGGTTCAGTTCAGTGCCAGTGTTTCCCCATATCTGTGGGGAGTGGGACCCAGATGCCAAGATTCAAGAATACTGCTCTTTTGTAAAACATAGGGTGGAATTTGTATATAATATTCATGTATCTTTTATCCTGTCTAAATTAACTCTAGATTATTTAATAATACTTAATGCAATATAGTGTAAATAGCCCTCATAAGTGTTGAAAAATCTGTACATATTTAGTCTACTTTTAACAAAAAAATTTTTGATAGAAAGTTGGTTGAATTGAAGTGGTAAATGATACGTGGGTCTACTGAAGAATTTCAGTGTGTCTTGCAATGGCAAAAATAAGGCATTGAGAGACTGAGGTAATATTAGTGGCTTACATGTCTGCCACGGCTTGGAGTTGGAGGAAGCCTAAGCGAAACTTCAGAAATAACATTATGCTTTGATTGTGGAGTGATTAAATGACATGCAAGTTTAGAGGGCCACTTAGTGTTATTTTTCAATTTTCTGTGTATGCTATACCTTTATATAAAAAGGGAGAGGTTGTTCCTAAAGACCAAAAACAAACAACGAACAAAAAACCTAGGGATGGAGAGATGACTCAGTGATGAACATGACACAGTGCCCTTGTAGAGGCTGAGTTTAGTCCCCAGCACCCACACTGTAACTCCAGCCCAAGGGTACTCTGATTCCTTCAGCTTCCACAGACACGTGCACTCCTGTGCATGTGGCCCCTCCCCACACACAACTGAAAAATAAAGAGCAAAGTTACTTGAAATGAATTAGTTCATCTTAGCTGGAAAATAGCAACTTTTTCTTTTATTTGTTTTTCCTTGTCACCTACTTTCCTATGACCTATAGAAAAGTTTGTACAGCAAAATGAAAAGAACACCCCATAAGATATTCTGAAATGAGATAAGAAAGGCTTTATGTAATTTAAGTGCAAATAGGTAATAAAAACTGATAAGAAAATATTAATATTCTAGAATTAGAGTGGTAAAGAACAGGAAATGAAATTTCACCAGAGGGAATTCAATGATCAACAAACCAATGAAAAACATGTAGAACTCATAAAAAAGCACTACAAATTAAAGGTGATAAAGTTTTATTTATGAAATTGATAAACAAGATTGAGAGATTTTAATATATAATATTGAAGGCAATTTTTCATATTTAATATATTTGAAAACAGTTAGAAAAAATATGCTTTCCAGAAAGTAACACAACTGGTAAAATCAAACTCTTTGAGTTCTATTATGTGAGCAAATTCAGACGGTCCCACCCCAGATGAAGAATGATAGACACTCAATGGCTACTGATGGAGGGAAGAATCAGTTTTTCCCAGGGACAAGCTCCCAGATTGGCTGCCCAATCCAAAGTAGCCAGACCTAAACACATAAACAAGTGGGCAACTCTCCAAGGGACTTGCAAGACTCAGCACATTATATATAGCTGATATATATGGTACAGGATACATATATGATATGTAAGTAACACAATAATTACAGAGTAAGAGGTTATGAATTTGAGATGTGGTGAGCAGACAGGAGAAGAATGGAGGCAGAGGAGAGATGAAATAATACACTGACAGTGTACTCATGTATGGAAAATAAATTAAGAGCTGACATATGGATTTATGTTTTCAGATGGAGAAAAGGGTAATTGGTAATTTTACAGTTATAACACAAAAAAGTAAAATATAAAGATGAAAAAATAAAAAAGATAATTTTCATTGAATTAAATTTTGTAGTCTGACATACTTAAGAGTTTTGAATTCTTAAGATTACATTTTATTTAAGCTTGAGTTTTGTGTTATTTCCCTAATATCCAGGTGTTGAGTGTTGAACAGCCCAGTGCTCCTGCATTGCTGGGCTGAAATACTATTTGATGATGCCATTTGCCCTGGACACAAAAACACTGTCCCTGTGAGTTCCCCTTGCTGGTTCCCTCAGATGGAATCACTGGCATAATTCACACAGGTGTGTAGAAGATTCCAGAAGTGCAGCATCCCCACATTGATGTGGTCAAGAAAACCAGTACGTCATGGGCATGTCAGACCCTAGCATTGCAGATAAAGGCAGAAACCTTGTGCTCAGGACATGGTCATTGTGTCCTGGATTTCTTTCCTCAACTGTCTCAGGCATGTTCATCTCCCAGAACAGCTTGTTTCTTCTAGGAGCCTATCCCTTTCCCTATAGTCTACACAGTGAACTGATTGGATAGATGGCAGACATGGAGTTGCAGCTCCATTGTTGCTCTGCCTGAGTGCTCCTCCAGAGAGCTCACTCAGCTCTCTCAACCTGTCTTTTCTGTGCTGTCCTTAGTCCTTTAACACCATGAGCCACTTGATATTCATGGACAATGTGTTACTTAAGTGTGGGCTCAATGACAGTTACTGCTTTGAATGCCTAGGATCTGAGTGGGTTAGTGTATATGTATGGAATGGGTCAGAATAACTAAAATCATACTGGAAGGCAAAGTGGAAGAGTAGAACTCCTGTAGAACAAAGGCACAGATCTGCTATGTGTGTTGATTGCTGGGTGACCTGGGAAATTGTTTAATATCCCTGAACTTTAGTTTCCATGTATTCAAAATGCAAACAATAATCTATCAATTTAAATAATGAGAATGAAGTGATACAAATGAAAGAGAGAGAAAGAGAGAGAGAGAGAGAGAGACAGACAGACAGACAGACAGACAGAGATGCAAAACACCAGTGTTTCCACAGCATTCTCCTGCATTCACTTTCACTTTTCTCACTTCCAGGACTTCAATTTCCTTTTTTTTTGTAAGTTATCATGAGTCTATGCAAAGATAAGTCTACAATGTTTGCAAATGGATACATGCTTGCACACATATACACATGATGGGGGTCTAAATACCGTTTGTTATAGAGACTATTTCTACCCAAGATCCACTTTATCTATAATTATGTGTATGTGTGCATGTCTGCATTAGTATGTGTACATGAGAATGGAGGCAAGAGAACACAGGTCCTTCAGAATTTAGAGATACAGGTGGTTTTGAGCTTCTAATTGTGGGTTCTGGGAACTGAACTGGAGTTCACTCCAATAATAATGTGTGCTCTTAACCACTGAGCCATCTCGCTAGTCCCTAACCTGGATCATTTAAATGATGTTTAGCAAAGGATATAAACATTAATCTAAACTCAACTAAAAAGATCTGATAATTGGGCTGCAAAATGATTTGGGGAGAGTATTAATTATTATTTTTCCAATTCAAATTCTCAGGGTATTTGCCCCACATACAGCATACATAATCTCAGTGCTCTTGCTAGTAGGCCATTCTTCATCTGAACATTTTTATTATACATTCTGATTCTTAACCTTGATGGTTTTGAATAGAGCTATATGAATTTGCCTCAAGATGACATGAAATATTAGTCCACCATCGTCTATACAAGTCCGTAATACCTCAGAACAGATATGGCGGGAACCCAGGAGCATGTCAAGTCAATGCCTCTGCTCATCAGATGAGAGTTTTATTTTTAAAAGTGTAAAGATTATTTTTATTTTATGTGGATGAGTGTTGGGTCTGCATGTGTGTCTGCGTACCACATGCATGCATGGTGCTGTGAAGGTCAGAAGAGGGCATTCTTCTGGGACTAGAGCGACAGGCCTGTGGGTCACCATGTGGCTGCTGGGAATTGAGTCTAGGTACTCTGGAAGAGCAGTCAGTGCTCTTAACCGCTGACCAACATGTTTAGCATCCAAGATTAAAATAAAATTCTGCATTTTAATTACATGGAGTGGGATTAGTTCTTCTTTTGACTGAGAGTGTAGTAACTGAAGGTGCAGGCTGCCACATATAATCTTCAGGTATCTTTGACATGGTAACCTAAGTAAGTCTGTTAAAATTTTTCTAAACCACTTCTCTGTAATAAGCTGCATTTTAATCCATCTTAGCTCTCATTTGACACTGTTGTTGAGTTTTTATTTGCAGAAACAGGGCTTTTGGTTATAAATGTCCTTCTCCTGATGACACACATCTTGAATTCCTCCTTGTCTACTCTATTCTCCCAGCTCCTCGCATTTCTCCCTCCCAGTTTGCCTGTATTCACACCACCACATTGTCTTCCTTCCTTGACAACATGGGCAGACATTCTCTGTGAGTCACTCTTTGATTTTTCCTTTCCTTCTTATTCCCCCGACACCTTTACTTTTGTTCCTGACTCGCTATTGCCAGTTTTCATCGGAAAGGGACATTTATTTTCATCCATTTACTATGTCTCTGTTAAGTTCCTTCCATACACTAAGTAAGAGCAAGGTGTTAGAACACAGTAACCATGTTTCTGTATTCTTGCTATTTTAACATTTAGAGGGGAATTTCCATGCAGGAAAGCCTGATCCTTACTCCGGGCCCCATCTTCTGCTCCACAGACCCTTTGCTCATTGCTAAATGGTTGCTAGGCCTTGCTGTCTGAAGTGTTCTCAGCTGCATTCCCAGGAAGCCTGATGGAGATGTCCTATTTCAGTGCTGAATTTCTAGTAGAATACAAGGTGGACAAAGGAAACATGGAAGCCCTTCCTGGTAGACATCCCCGTTGGAGGAATGCTGACTTCATAGTAAGTCGTCAGCCTTTGAATTCTAGAGTCCATCTCTGCTTCTCTCAAGTGATGATTTTTGTCTTGTCTTGAGTGGCCCGCTGACTACCCTATCTGGTTGTCTGTTAACATAAATCTCCTACCTGTGGCTGCACAGAGAGAAGGCACTGGCTGAAGGAAGTTTAAGCGTAAATTGGACTTGTAGTTTCATAAACAAGATTGAATTTCATAAGTCATCAAATAAATGTTTGTCTAATTTGCATGACTTTTTGTCATTCTCTCTCTCTCTCTCTATATATATATATCTATATATATATACTATATATATATAGATATATATATATATCATATGTTCTCCAGCTGAATGACTATGACAATTAGTGGGATAATGAATTTAAGTCAGTAATGTTTCAGAATAAGATGATAGGAATAGTTGCATATGCCTTACTCACCATTTTCCACCTTGCGGTGTTTTGTCAGCCACCAGTGATGGATATCATTGGTGATATTTTGGCTTTTTAAATGCACCAGATTATATTATTTTCATTTTTTAAATATAAAGGTGACAGCTTCAGATCATATCATGGGTCTTCTGAATAATAAATCATCTGCATCAAAAGAACATTTTTTAAGAGTTAAGTTTCTTTAGATAGTGTGTTACAACTGTGGTTATGAACATGACATTTGGAAACAAGTAATTCTCAGTTTGGAACTTGACTTTGCCAAACACTATCTGTGTAATCCTAGGGAAGGACTTAAAGTTTCCAAGCCTGTTTTTGTTTATAAAATGAACAAAAGAGCATCTAGTTTACAGAGTATTCAAATGATTAAATTACATAGAATATATAGATGACCTTGAGGTAAATCATAGATATTATTTTACCCACTGCATTTCGGCATGTGCCACTAAAAGACAAATCTTGCAAAAACATAAATGGGAATCATTATTATAGCCCTTTAAATGACAATTATAAGATCAAGTAATCACAGAGTATGAATTTGATGTTGTTCACAAAAAAGTTGTTTTAATAGTTATCTTTTTGGGGAAATGTTATAAATCACCTATTGTGAGAATATATCAGGTAATTCAAAAACGAGCTAGGCTTTTGAACTTCTAGCCTCACAAAGTGAACATATTATTCTTGTGTATGTGTGGAATGAAACATTGTGCATCTTATTCTCTTAGTGACTTGGGCTATGACAATTTGTCAAGATGTACGTGTGTGGAAAGTTCCTGCCAGAGATCATAACAGAGATTGGGAGCTAAGATCCCTGAACGTTGTTCTTCTGTTTAAATAATTTAGCTGCTGCCTGCTGCTTATGTGGTTCCATCAGTCCTCAGCCTCTCTAAAGATGACATTGAAGATACTGTTAGCTTCTCCTGGCATACCTCTGCCATTGGCAAGATTAAAGTTTAAAAATGATTATCAGCAGTTACATTTTGAACTTTCTGCCTCTACTCCAAGTAAGAATCTTATTTTGAAAGATTTCTGACTTTGTTTCATTGTTCCACCAATCCTCATATCTGTTCATGTAGCATGCGGGTTTATATATGCATTTATGTTGCTTAAAGAAGTGCTAAAGCATCAATCAAATTAGGTAAAAATTTATCCAATAACATTTAAAATTCAAGCCTGTGTATGAATCTACAAAGTCCAATATGTAAACTAGCCATCTCCTTCCCCATTGCCTGACCCATCTCACCATCCTTTGGGCATTTACTACCAGGGCTAGCACTGGTAGATTTTGGGATGGAATATATAGGGCATGGATGTGGCCTTGTCTCACTAGGAGCTTATCCCCTTGCTGGGGAGAAAACACTCATGTAGAAAATGACAATAAAAGTCTCACACCTGCAAAGCAAAGACCTGACAGAGTTCCTAAGCTCTGAAGGGGTCCAGTCACCCAGTCAGAAGAAAATCAAGAGGGTTTAAATGAAAAAGGCTTTGAAATAGGGGATCTGCAATTCAGTTTGGAAGGGGTTGATAGACATGGATTTGAGTTGAATGAAAAAGACATTCTAGGTGAGAGAAAAGACAGTAGCAGCAATATGGAATCATCAGTTGGGATTGAGTTTCAGATGAGAGGGTCTTGTATTAAGTTTTGATTGCATTGATTTGAAGCAAATGTAGAATGCATATTGAGCCATGAACGGATAGGACTTATGTCAAATTGTGAAAACACCACTTTACCATTACAGGACTTTTCAAATGTGTGTCTATAGGAGTGATTGTTGTGTAGAATTGATGATCTGGAAGTCAAGATGAGTCTGTCATAATAGCTCCAAAATGAAACACTCACAACTTGTGGGTAAAGTGTGCATCATGGAGGAAGCAGACAAATTCTAGTTTATGTGTGCTATCTGGTAGCTGTTAGGATTTTCTTTACTCATCCTGGAGGTAGATAACAGTAATGGAGCCCTAGATATGTTGAGCTCTGGGTGTGACTGCAATTCAAATGCATGCAAAGAAATTATGAATTCTTCTGTGTGTCAAGTTTAATGTTTATGATTCAAATTCATATTTCTCATAATTTATTTTCTTTGTCATTTCACTTGTGTGCTGATTGGCTTCCAGTAATCAGAAGAGGCATTTGTGTGAGATGTTAGCTGTGAGGTAAGTAATCTGAAGGGAGAAGTTTGTGTGCACACCTTTTTCTGGGAGAAGATGCAAAAGCCCTTAGGTTTGCAGGAAGCCATGTCTGTAAGACAGAGACTCTGGCCAGAAGAGTTATAGATTCTAGACTTGCACTAGAATTGAGTTATTGCCAGAATGCCATAAAAAATACTACAGAAGTAAGAAGTCTGTTGTATAAGCCATTTTAAAGGACAGATGTTTTCCCTCTCAAAATGTTGGAAGCTGGAATTCTAAGGTTAAGTTCAAACTCTGGCAGAGTTGCATTCTCTAACTTTCTCCTTGATACCTATCTTCTTGTGGTGTGTGTGTGTGTGTGTGTGTGTGCACGTGTGCACGTGTGTGTGTGTGTGTGTGTGTGTGTGTGTTTTCATTTCCTCTTCTTAACACTACACCAGGCATTTTGGATTAGGGATGACCCAAATGACCTTATTTTAACTTATCTTTAGAGAATCCATCTCCAAATACTTCATTCTGAGGTACCAGGGCTTAAGGTTTCTGCTGTCAATTGCGGGTCACTTAACTCAGGCCCAAAGGGTGTCTGAATTCTATTGCTGTATGTTTGCTTGCTTGACCTCTGGGTGTAGAAGCTCTGTGAGAACAGGGCTCCCATCTTTTAAATCTTTTCATCCACAGCATGTAGAAAGGTTTGACTACATAGTAGGCATTTAACATGGTTGCCTTTTGAATTATATCCTTCCTACAGCATAATTCACATTAGACTTTTAAAGCCTACTTAAAATATAAATTTTGCCCTGAGATTAAATGACCAAGAGCCCTGCTATCATTTATTGCATGCACCAATGATCTGTGCAGCATTTCCTCTGGTGCCTTCCTGAGCTGGCAGGAGCCAGCCATTCATTTAAATTGGCAACAGACATGGAAATGAATTTGTGTGCTGTCTTACTTGGTAATAAAACTCAAAGTGCAGTGTAATTTGTGATGGTTTGAAGCAGTAATGCAATTTTGGCAAGTGTGCTATATCTCTACAAGACTTACTGTTTGAAGATTTTCAAATCAGTGTGCTATAGACTCTCTTCCTAAAAACAATTGATTAAAGCCATCTTCTTCTGGACTTGGTCCAATCTCCACTAGAAATAACTAAAGCATAAGTTACATGATTTTTTTTGGTTGAGGTTTTCCTGACCAGATGTATTTGGCCTGTGTCTCTAACACTTTCTCTGCTTTGCTTTTCTAACAGGTATACCTTTCTCTCCTATTAGGAGGGTTTGAAGGTAAGAAGAAGAATCACCATACAAGTTGCATTTTGAACTGATGCAACAAAGGAACTACACTACGACCCAAGGGGCAAAATGGTGGGGAAAATGGCATAGAACCATTTCATCTTCTCAACCTTCTCTATGGAAATATCCTCCTATTCTTCGGTATGTAAATAAGAAACAGCTGGATGCCTGTATAGTAGATTTGATAGCCTTTCAATAGCTAGTTCTACCTGGGATTTTAAACTAGGGGTGTAAATATTCCTACATGTAGTTTCACTCAATCCAAAATTTATTTCAATAAAGTGAATTCTAAAGACAATTCTTGGTCCTAATAAAGATTTTTCTTAAATGATTACCCTGCTTTCTATTGTGTTCATGCCTTTCTAATGATCACTCTTAAAAATGATTTATGTCTTAGAGTAGCAAACCAAGTTTACTAGAATCCTTCCTTTACTGCTGGATAAAATATATTAGGCTCCTATGACATATGCTTGTGTTTATCAGTGGGGTAGATTTATGAGCTACCCTATGGGAGCAACTTGCAGGGACAGAGTAGTTCTGGTAGGAGTCTCTTCTGGGAGGTTTACAAGAGAGAGCATGCAAATAGTACCTGATTTAATTGAACTCATAAACAGATGTCATTATATCTTTAAGAGACTTGCTTTATCAGGGGCTCCATGAAGTCATAATTTTCATTAGGTACAATAAAGCAGTTGATACATTTTCTCCCTTCTAGCTGCTCAGCTGCTTCCCTGGTTTATTCCCTCGGCTTTCTGTCCCTACTGTCAACAGCTCCATCCTTTCAACCCATGTCATAGCTTGCATGAGAAGGCTTATGGGTAAAGAACCCAACCACTTCAGTTGCCATCGCCTCCTTTCTCCTCTCACATGACATTATGTAAGTATCAGTGGCACAACTTTAAGCTATCCCATCAAAATACTACTAAGGAGAAATTTCTCAGTTTAATCCTTGACCATATTTTCTTTCATTTGCTGTGATCACAATTCTAACATTGTATTAAATTTCTCAATAGCCTTAATTTCACTTTGTCATATTTAGCTGTCTATTTTCCTCCTAGTTCACATTAGGAAAAACACAACAAACAGTAAACAGAGGTGATGAGATGTGAACTACAATACTTTCATATTTGACCAGCCTCACTTCCTGCTCATCTCAAAGAATAAGAAGGTCTTCATAAAATTGAGCTCTGCCATCATCTTGAACGCTACATCCCTTTCTTCCCCCTTTCAGTCCTTAAACTTAATACTTCTCTAGTCTGTCTTTTTCATCATTATCTTTCATCTGTGCAAGCCACTCCCACCCAGAGTAGTCAGGAACTCTAATGCCAAACTGTGATGTTCAATATCGATTCACCATATATGACTTCTCTTCCCTTTGAAGTTATTTTTTCCTGTATGATTTGTTTGGGCAACACCTAGCAAGCAGAGTGATAAGTTTTGCTGATGACCGTAAGCTTTAAGGACCAAGGTGTTGGAGCCATGGTGCTCCTAGGTGCCTGAGGCCTGCAATGAGCAGAGCAGTTCTCTGCTGACCACGAGAGAAAGGTACCTTGAGAATCTTGGAGTTGCTCATTCCTATACTACAACTTAATATATACAGACAGACCCTTCTTCTCTTAACCAGCTTCCTTGAAAGAAACTTTCCTTAATTCAAATTTTACTTCTCTTTGATTCCTTAGTCCTTACATGCTTTGTGACCCATCCCTTTATCACAAGCGTTCTTGATAAGTTCCCAATGACCCCTTGTTTTCACATCCAGGGGAGTGATTTGTCATCTTACTTGACCTGTGAACTCCATGTAGACTATTGACTTCTAGAAACATTCCAACTTCCTGTCACAATCTCTTACTTGTCTTCCTTTCTTTCCCCTCAACCTTTTGCTTTCACCTGGGCATTCCTCTACTGTCTATTGCTGAGATAACCACGTATTTAGCTATGGTTCCAAATCTATATGTGGTAAGGAAAATATTTTGCAGCATTAACTCTGATACTCTCATTTTCACACTAAGGTGTAAGATTTGCTCTGTTACACTGAATTTTGCAGAAGTCATTTCCATTATAATAAGGAAGACTCATGATAATCTTCTCTAAACATTTGCAATTATGACACATTTAGATCCAGAGAATGACGAAGTTCTCTGAGGACCCACTCTCATCTTCTGCCATGATGCCACATGAACATTATATTTTTACACCCATGAGTTGTAGGGAAATAGTTAAAGGACAGGCAGCTAGACAAAAACCCACAGAGTTAATAGTGATGGAGCAATTTATGGTTGGAAATTGGTTGAAATCCTGCAGACAATGTGGTTCCTCCCCATTATCCCTGCTTCATTGACTCATGTAGAACTTGTGAACAAAACCAATTGTGTATAGAACAAATAACTTAATGCTGTGTGTTCATTTAAATTATCAAACCTCTCTATGCACACACACACACACACACACACACAGAGAGAGAGAGAGAGAGAGAGAGAGAGAGAGAGAGAGAGAGAGAGAGAGAGAGAGAGAGGGAGAGAGAGAGAACCTTTTTCTTCCATTCTATAATCCAAATCTCAATTATTTGTAGTTAGAATCTTGTCCTGTTTGGGCAAATTTTATGTCTCAGACAATGGCATAATAACACACACACTACAGTGACATGTTATTCCCTGGATTGTTCTTGGATGTGATTTCCTGTCTCTTGTGACAAACATTTACATTCAAGCTGTAAGATATGTTTATTTTTGTTGAATGCAGGAACATAGCTATAGAACCCAACTGGTGAAAGGATATGCTGAGTGCTGTCCTCAGTGGACCCTGAATGGATATGACCTTCTGCCTTGCTTTCATAGTATGTGTCAGGCAATTATGTTTAAATGGCTTTATCCTGAGAAAGTTCTGGGAAAGGGCTGCTCTGTTGATATTCATTACATGCTTACCAACACTTAGTTACATGTTTTTCTGATCATGAGTTTCTGAACTCAAACAGCCTTCCTTGGTTCACTACTTTCTTTGTTTTATTCATGAATAAAAGTACATTGAAACTGAAAGTTGTCTACAGCATTAGACTGTAGTTCACCTCATTTTTTAAGGTCTTCGAATCCCTGCTCACTAAGGCAGATCTATACAGGTCCATGAAAGTTGACAATATCCACCTTTGAATGGTCATAATACAGAGACCAGGGTGTTGTAGAACAGGGTAAGGGACATTCGTTTTTTCTCTCACAAAAATGTGATCATCATCAAGTGCTTGGAGGAAAGTGTTAGAAGGAAGGGAGGCCTCTATGAAGTCTGTCATGAGGAACAGAACAAAGCAAAGTTTTAGAGATGCATTTGCAATAATAGAATGTAAATCAGACATAGTGGCTACCTCCCAGAAAAATGCAAAGGGGTGAAGTTTAGTGAGACAGTATTCTGATCTTCAATGAATAAGAAAAAGCTGATGGGACACAATGTTTGCCTATGTTAAATCCAAGTGATGACACAGCTGTCTTTCATATTAGCTAATGCATAATTCATTGTGCCAGAAGATTTCATAAATAAAAATATAAAAAATTGATATTGAATTATTGAATAATCACAGCTTTAAAGATAATTACCTACAATTACTGTTAAACAATGGCTACAAAACTTATCATAACATTTGGCTGACAGGTGTTAAATAAAAGATTATGTAGTGTGGATAAAGAAATAAGCTTTTAAAGTTTGGGAGGATATGAGATTCAGGAAGGCTGCTACCTTTCCCAGGGTAATCTGATATGCAAAGGTAACAAGTTTTTCCCATGAAGACCTGGTTTTGAAACTCAGTGTGACCTATCACTTACATGAATGACCTCAGCAAGCTTCCCTGAGTTATTCATAAAGTATTCCTTAGGAGAGAGATTTATGAGAATGGGGCTGAGAAGCTTAAGCATATATTCCTTCCATAGTTCTCTTACTGAGATGAGAATATAAATAAATTGTTCCCCAACAGTTTCCTTTTTTTTTTTTGAGGCACCCAAGTAGCTAGGAAGGCCATGGCCCCTTAGAAAAAGAATGCTGCATTTTATAGTCAAGTATTTATTTTATTGGGGTTATTTTAAAGTTAATTATGTAGATTACATAGTATAACTTGGCTCAAGTGATCTAAATGGGTGCCTTTGTTTCACTGGAGTGTTCCTGATAGAATTCCCCAGGAACAACACAGAAGTCTGGTTTAAACAGACTCAGATGCCAAGGCCTCTTCACTGACATCCACATTCAGGGGGTCTGGATCTGTCCTGTGCTGGTTTCCCAGATATCAGTCTGGGGTCCATGAGCTCCTCCTTGTTCAGGTCATCTGTTTCTGTGGATTTCACTAGCCTGGTCTACAAGGCCTCTGGTAGTACATCAGTATTTATCCCTAGCATACCAATGGCCTTTGGGAGCCCATTCAACATAGAGGGATACTCTGTCAGCCTAGACACACACGGGAGGGCCTAGGCCCTGCTCCAAATGATGAGACAGACTTTGAAGATCCCCCATGGAAGGTCTCAGCCTCCCTGGGGAGCAGAAAGGGGATATGGTAGGGAGTTAGTGGGGGGCAGGGGAGGAGGGGAGGGAGAGGGAACTGGGATTGACATGTAAAACAAGCTTGTTTCTAATTTAAATAAAAATAGAAACAACAGACTTAAATGAGACTGCTATTCCCTTTGACTTCCAGAGAAACCAAAGTACCTTTTATTACTGTGATGTAGCTTCTTTTTTCACAAAGCATGCCTGAATAGGGAATGGCACATGGATTTCAGAGTCCAACTTCCTCCTTCAAATACTTAAGATTCAATAACTACCAACCTGAGAATTCTCATTGTATCCTAGCAATATACCACGAACTAAAATATGGAAATTTCTCAGATTAAGAAACTCTTCTGTCTTTTAAAACCAGATTAAACCCATCATTTTCCTGCTTCCCTTTCTCCCTCCCTTTCTTTCTTTTTCTTCCTTCCTTTCTTCCTTCCTTTTATGCCTCCCTTCATTTCCTCTTTCCTTTTCTCCCTCTCTCCCTTTCTCCTTCCTTCCCCAGCTTCCCAAGGAACTGGCACCATAATATAATGGCTGGCTAAGATCCTATTTCTTTACCACTCTAAATTTCACCAGTAGTAAATAATGATTCTTACTTGGTTTTGGCATACAACAAAGTGCATGACTGAGTTTTGACTCAGTGGCTTGTGTTGACATTTCCAGGGTCCCAAGGCTACCCATCAAAATGCCTAGTTATCCCAGAGCCTTATATGAATTCGCATTATGGCTACATAATCCCTGCCTGTGTGTGGTGTTATGTAAGCCCCCCCACACATGTGCTCAGTGACCTTTAAAGGCAGACATGCCTTACTCACTTTCTCTCTCGCCATGTTTCTTGGAGCAGGCCTGGGCACACTGCCCCTCCCTACTCCTTTCTAATAAAACTCTTAAAGCGGGTTTTGCTGTATATCTTGTGGTCTGTTCTCGAGCATGGTAAATAACAGCGTGAATGACTGAATGAACAGAGCAGAAACAGTAAGTTCAGTGTCTTGGTTCCTTTCTACTGTGATAAAACAGTATAATCAAGACAATTTACAAAACAAAGCCTTTAACTGGGCTTACATTTCTCAGAGTGCTGGAATCCATGATGGCATGGTGACAGGAACAGCTGACAGCTCACATCTGGGACTATAAGTACAAGGCAGATAGCACCCTGGGAATGACAGTCTTCTGAAACCTCAAAGCCTATTCCAGGGACACTCTTCCTCCAGCAAGGCTACACCTCCTAATCTCCTCAATCAGTTAACAACTGTTGCAGATTGAAGGAGCACCTCCTGCAAAGCACCACAGGCAGGTATATGCTAACACTAGAAAAGGGAGATAAAAAGAAACCCAGGCAGCCTATCTTTTGCAAATGGTGGCAGAAACAGAATCCTGATGCTGGGCTAGTGGCCAAATACTCGTTTAGTATATATTTATGTACACCTTTTATCTTCATTTCAGAATCATAAGATTGAAGATAATAACTGAAAGTGTTCAGCGAATTCTTCCTTATATGGCTTACTGGTGATATTTACCCAGGATTCATCATTCCTTAGTCTCTTGTTAATATTGACCAAAAACCAGGTTGCATATGTGGAAAAATGCACCAGGTTTCTGAAAATTCCCTCAGTCTTTCTCATTGAACTCATCCTCCACAGTGTCCATTCAAAACAGTGTTCTTAATGTCCCCAGACATAAACAAGAGGGCCAGAGAACTCTAAGACAAATGGAAAGATTATAACGGAAAGCAACCACCAAAAGGCTAGTATTTTCCAGACCCTGGATAAAGTATTACTTTCAAGCATTATGTTACTTTAGTAATGAGAAAAAATAAATGTATTTGACAGTCCTCCACTAAGGTTTTAATTGGGGCTCCTGAATGTCACTCTCATGGAATATTTTTCTTAGATATTTGGTCTACTCCTTGCAAAGTCCACATTGTTTTGCAGATGGCAAGATAAACCTGTTTTTGAAGGCAAGGGAGGACCCCTGAACTGATTCCTCCCACAGAGACCCAGTAGCTACTCTTCCCAAGCATTCTGTCCTGTGTGCCAGGATGTTTCTTCTTGGAACTTGCCTTTTTTTTCTGGGGAGCATCTATTTACAGATGATCTATCTTCCCCACAGCAAACTGCACCAAAGCCATGTTTCTACCTATCAGTGGACTCTCTCTGGACTTGGCCTTGTCTGCTCTGCTAGCAGCTCACAGCTCTTCATGACAACTGAGAGCAGCTTGGACTGCTACACAACCATTCAAGAAGCGACACAGTTTTTCAAAACAAGGCAGTTCTATTAATGTAAGTTTATTTACAGTTATAATAAAATTAATTGATTTTTATGGTCTTGCATCACAAAAGTTAATATCCCTATCTCTACTGAGAACACTCAAATAGGATCCTTTATGTAAATTGTGTCAGTGGGAATCATCATTTATGTTGGAAACATTCCCATCTCCATTTCAGACAATGGGCCATGGGTTCACATGGTTGAAACAGCCTGTGCAATTGTACCTCTGTCATAACTTTTAACAAGCATCCTTTTTTAGACAGAAGGAAACTTTAATGTATCGACATGAACCTGAACTGTGCCCTTGAAACGTTTTAGAAAGATGTGCCTTTGAGAATTGAAATGAGGTGGAATCCACGATTAACTACTTAATATGTAAATTATCTTCTCTCCTGTACCACCTGTAATGACTGCTGACTGGTATTAATGAGGTGGCGGTAGGTAGGAAACAAGGGTGCCCTTTCAAAGCCATAGGTGGTAGCAGCACACTGATTTATGATCTAAGGCTTATCTTTCTCCATTATCTGCATCAGTTGACAAGCCTTCCTTCCCCCACCTGTCTGACTGTTGCTTCACATCTGACAGCTAAGCTTTTCTCCACACCCACAGTACCATTTGCTTCTGTGCAAAGACCTAATCTCAGCCCAGTGATCCAGAAGTTGCACTCAGTCATTCTGCACAATAAAGATAACAGCTCCTGGCCAGGGCCCTATCTGCAAGCTTTCTAACCCAGTCATAAACTGTAGACTGGGAGCTTCAGAATCCTTTTCATTCAGCCTTAGTCTGTGTACTTGTTCAGCAGCGATAATAAACCTCGAGTAGAGATGCTTCAATGGTCAAACAGAACAGCATGTGACTTTCAACAAAGCCGAGATTGCTGTGGGGTTTTATTCTTTAAAAAATTTACACCGAAGCTTCTTCATCATCCAGCATCAAGCACAACCTATGACAAACTCAGAAGTCATATTTAATCGAAATATCATTTAGAAAGTGCTCCAGGAGGAGGAGGGGTGTGGAGTGCGGAGTGAATCCAGGCTTGTGCTGCAGTTAGAAACATGCACATTTTTGCATCACCTTCAGAAGGGAATTTTCTAAAATCTAACCCAATATTTAGCCTCATCTGCACTGAATGTTCTATTAGTGCCTGGGGTCCAGCTTTGCTTTGGCTACCAGCACTTGGATTAAATGCAAATATAAGGTTCAGCTCCAAACATACCTCCCAGGCCTCTGTGATTACTTCAGCAGGTGTCCTTCGCTCCTTGGCAGAAGTTTGTTAAGCCATAGGTTTGGGCTCAGTTTTACCTTCCCTCCCCCACCTACTTTCACTCACATTCCAGAACCATCCTACATCTAGGACGACATTGTCAAGCGGTTCTATCTGGCCACTGGTAAATAAGCCTGAAATGAGGTCTTCTAGCCCAGAAACAAAGTGTTTTTCTATCAGAATGCATTTTAGGCAAATAATAGTATTTCATTAACTATGTAGCCCCCAAGAATTGCCAGTGCTCAGCCTGAAAACAGACTGCACTTTCTGACAGTTAGACTATCTTATTTTTTACTATTACATTTAGAATGTGTTCTAATGAATGTGAAGGCAGCTTCCACATGGCAAAACAAGACTAAGCTGGGAACTGCTGCCTCCTGTCCCAAGGCTGACTAGTCCAGATCTATGCCAGCAACTTCATGCTCTTTAACTGAGGGCCTCTCTCTTGCTATCAGAAACCTACAGGTGTAGAGAAGACCTAATTACCAAAACTTTACTTGGCTACTGGACTGACCATTTCTTTTGTCCAACAGAGAAAAAAATCAGCTAAGAACCAGGAAGAAATTAGGATAAACAAAAGATACTTGGGAGATGGTGGGGAGGGAGGGGGATAGGGAGGTGGAGAGAGAGAATCAGAGAAGCAGAGAGACAGAGAAACAGAGAGAGGCAGCTAAAGAAAGCCTATAGTCACCATCCCCCATTTTTTTCTAATTTTCCCCATTTGTTCGCTCATAGGAATGCTGGGAATGTTTGCTGATGGGTAATCTTCCATAGAGTCAATGTTATTCACAAAGGCAACTGTTGTGCCCAGACTCTGAATTCCCCAAACCACCCAGAGACCAGATCCAATGCAAAACGCAAAAGCAGAGTCTTTTTAATTAAGAGTTAACGTGGGTCCTCTGTCCATCCCACACAGCTAGTGGAGTAAGAGGGACCCCGAATGGCAGTGGGGCAGGACATATATTGGGCATAGAGCAATGGGAGTATTTGGGGTCCACTAGTTGCATAGCAACAATCTCAGGGTTGGTGCACCTCTGTCTGGGGGAATCTGTCCTGAGTTGATTGGTCAGCTGCAGCTGCAGAAAGGTTGTTATGTTTAGAGACCATCCCAGGGCAATTTTCTAGTCCTGCATTCCACTATTACCAGTCAAGCATATCCAGAGCCGGCCAGCTGACTTTTGATTGGTTCTTTGACAAATGGAGGCTATGTGGCAGTTGCTTCCTAGTAATTAGGGCAAGATAGGGCAAGGTGGGGAGGGGGCCTCAGTACATGCTTCTGAGTCAGGGGCCTATGTCTTTTCTACAGCCTGTCATGACTGCCGAAGCATGGGCTGTGTAAGGGTCTGGGCCTGTCAGGAGGCACACTTTCTGGTGTGGGGTGTGTGTCCATAGGAGGTGACTCTTTCATTAGGAGCAGAAGCAGATCTCATTACTTGGGTGTCCCATCCTTGCAGGACTTAGTGGTTTTGTTTTAACTATTACAAAATAAATAGCTCTGTTGAAGAAATATTTAGTGTTGGGAAATCTGAAGATTCTTGGGGTTTTCTAGGTGTGCCTTTTGTGAATCTACTGAGATAGAGCTCACGTGTGGTATCTCTTCTCGAAAGTATTGCTTTACCTGTGTGTGTTTGTGTGTGTGTGTGTGTGTGTGTGTGTGTGTGTGTGTGTGTGTGTGTGTGTGTGTGTGTGTGTGTGTGTGTGTGTGTGTGTGTGTGTGTGTGTGTGCATGTGTGTACCACAGCATGCTCATGCTATAGAATGAGCATAGAGGCCAGAGGATAACTTGTACGAGTGATTCTCTCCGTCTCCCATTGAAGAACTAGTGAGGGAACACAGGCCATTAGGATTGATAGCAAGTGCCCTTTTACCTGCTGAACCATCTTTACAGCCTTTGATGTCTATTTTTTAATATTCCTTTTAGTTCTTTAGATCATTATATAATTGCATCTTTTCCCCTTTTTCCTTCTTCCCTCCCCCTATCCCATATATCACTCCTTGCTCTTATTCCAACTCCATGGCCTCTCTTTTTATTACTTGTTCACATACACACACACTCACACACACACACATACCTACACACACACACTCATACACACATACCTACACACACACACACACACACACACACACACACACAGACACACAGACAGACACACACACACACACACACACACACACACACACACACACACACACACACTATTTGGGATAGATTCATAGGGCTGTGATATTCATGGGTATAGATTACTGGGGATAGATACTTAGATTATAGTGTGAAGTTTCTTTGCTCATGCATTAGATAATTTTCCTGCCTTCCTCTCACACATCCACAGGCCAGGTGCAAGCTGTCTAGTACTTAAGGAGGATCCGGTCCAGCCATTTGACAATGAACTCCCTTCTATCTGTGCTGACTATATTTTGTGGTAAATGTTATCTTCAGTTTTATTATAGCTAAATCTATCTAGATAAGTATTGGCTTAATAGACTCTTGGAGCTCAATGTTCTATGTGTACATTGTAGAAATTTGCTACCCAAATATTCTTTTGAATTCTTATCACTTTGGTTTTTCCATCTCTTCCTCCTCTTTTCATCTCAATCTTCCCAGAAGTTCTACAGCAGGAATGAGATAAATGTGTATCCATTTAGGAGAGGGAGAGAGTACATTACAGTGTAGTCTGCAAAAGTAGCTGACTGGAACAAAGGGGAAACTTTATATTTCAGGTATGGTTAAAGTCAAAACACTAGATCATTTCCTTATTTTTTTTCAAAGTGAAGCTGTTCACAGCTTTGTATTATTTGCTGTTTTGGTTATTACTTATTTTGGCAAATTTCTATTAAGAAATCAAATTAATATTGAGGTAAAAAACATTCCAAATATAGTAGTCATTTTTTGTACTGCTTGTTCTCAGGATCATTTATCGTTTGGGCCTCTCCTTGCATATGAATAATAAAATCACTAAGCAGACCCAGAATTAAGATAAGATAGAGCTGTCTGTGGAAACCAAGGCACAACAAAGTAGGCCATTCAAGAGATGCTGGCTGCTGAAGGGTCAGGACATGAATCCTGTGCTGGTTTCAATGCTTGCTTGTGAGATCTTCTCTGTATTGTTTCTCAAGTGCTATGAATTCAACGTGTGTGTTTTAAAATGGTTCAAAAGCACACAGAGAGAGGCTTTGTGACCATGTAGTGTCTGGGCTCCCCATTCATGTAAGATCAGATCCCACTGGCCTGGGGGCAATGCCTGGGCTTCCCATTCATGTAAGATCAGATCCCACTAGCCTGGAATAGGTGTCAGGAGACAGGAGACTTTTTTTCTTTTCTTTCACAATAGTTTTCATTAATGCTGAGGGTCATGGTCTGTGGACAGTGTTTGAGAAACAGTAGTTTATGGTCAAGTGAGAAAATATAGTGAAGCTATGAAGAGCAAAGGCCCAGGAACTGGATAGCTTAAGCTGCGTTCTGTTCACTCTGGCTGTGGGCAAGGTGTTTAAACTAAGGATTCTAACTTCTACAGTGTGGGCTTTTGATGATCATTAAGCTTCTTAAAACCTTTCAATGGTAAATAAATGGTGGGTGCATAGTCACTTCTTAGTTTCCGTTGGTTCTCAGTGCAGCTTAGTAACTCATCATTAGTTCAAGTGTGTCCGCAGACACCACAAACAGATCAGAAACCTGTCTCCCTTGCTCAGTAAAGAATGACCTGTCCTTTGTTTCTAAAATCTGTTAGTTTCCCTTTTCATTTTAAC